TCTTCATCTATAATCGCACCTCCGATTCCCTTATGTCTTTCCTTTTCAGGAAAAGGACCAAATGAGAGAAACTATCAAGTGCTCGAGGCTTCATACTTCAACACTCAAACACTTGGGGGACTACATAATATACACATACATGTGTATAAAGAAGGCAAAGAAGATTGAGGAAAAATCAAGCCTAAAAGAGTCAAGTGCAGAGTAAAAGTCACAAAGTCACCAGATGGAGCCACGAGCTAAGGCCAAAGAAAAACCTCACTATAGTTAGGGTTAAGGCTATGTACTAAAACGGGTTATAAGGAAAAACCTCGTGACTATTATTCTTCTTTTGTAAAAATCTGTTACAAGAAAAATAATTACGAAAAAGTTATAGATGTAATTCAAATACATGTAAAGTTTTATTCGGAACTCAACAAGGTTCAAAAATAAAAACTTGTCAAAGTTATTTCACATAAACATGTGTGTTCCTATTTCTTTTATCGTATGATAACACCATTATGAAGTTGAAACTTCTTCTTCATTAAGTGTCGAAATATAAAAGGGCCCTCTTTTATAAACCTCATGTTTAAATTAATTAGTCATGAGGTTAACAGAAGCATTTTTGAAAAACAAAAATGCAAATTATTCTGTAAGTCCTTAAAAATAAAGGCAAGAATAAAGCAAACAGAAGTTTAAGATAATAACATGAAAAGCTTCTTAATATGTAAAAAATCTAAGACTAAGTTCGAACTTAGTCATAAAACTATGAAATTGTTTATACAGATCTCCCCATAAAAGACTTGGGGACTTGCGTTTCCAAAATCAACCCTCAAATGAAGCTAAGGGTTTGATTACAACTTTCCAAAACAAAAACAAAATCATTCAAATGATTAAAACTAAGAAGTTTGTGGAACTGAAGCAGGAGCATCAATAGCAGCGGGCTCAATTTGAGCAGGTGCATAAACAGAGGCGGTTTTAACTTGGCTTGCAACAACAGGCTCGATTGGGCTTGAAAGAGTTGGGATACCCATATCAGCTTCAACATTCACGGGAGCTTCAACCACGGGAGAAGGGAAGTCCTGAGTTTGCTGAGCTTTTTCAATGGTTTCATTGATCTTAGCTAACTCCGACTCCAGGTTGAAGTTTTCTTGGCCAGCTTCAATTAAGGTATCACGACGTTAATTCAAAAATGCCCAACTTACCTCAACAACAGATTTTTCTTCAAGGGTCTTATAATCCTTTTCCCAATCAGCAATCTCATTCTTTAGATCTTCATTTTTAGCCAAGGCGGAATTGTAAGAAGCTTGAAGAGAGGCATGGGAGCTCTCTAAAGCACGTACCTTATCAATAGAGACTCAAAGGTCTTCTTGTGCTTGAGTTAAGCTTTGCACGGGCTCCCCAGCGTAAACTTCTTTTTGACTCAAAAGAGCCTTCAACTCTCTGTTCTCTTCACTGGCCTTAGATAGTTGCTCTGAGAAAGAGGATTCGAGACATTCTTTTTCTTTTTCTGCTTGGTTTAAGGAAGCTTTTACAACCGCTAACTCTGAAGTTAAAGCCCGCACCTGCTGCTCTAAGGTACTCTTGCTCTCTTGTAAATCTTCCATATAAATTTGTGCACTCTCAAATTGTTCCTTCTAATTGATTGCCTCCAACTGAGAATCACGTGCTACCTTCTCCAAGAGGGGGATTTTGTTCATCATTTCTGTACCGATAAGGTTGACCTAAAAAAAGAAGGGAAATAAGAATCTCAAAGATAAAAAATTTACAAAATAAAGAAGGGAGAGAAGGAAAATACCTTCAAAGTGGCATGCACGATATCATTCATTAGAGTCAGGGAACTATGGCTCTCCAACTTTGCTTTTTCAATTGGGCCAATTAGAGGCTCCAACCATACATCTGTCTGGCCTGACTTCCTCAAAAGGCTGCTATCAGCAGGAACTTCAATAGTTACCTTCCTCATGGTAGCACTTCTACTTGAAGAGCCCACTTCTGTATGATGAACTATAGGAGGGGGAATTATCGAAGAAGGAACGATAGAAGAAGGAACGGAAATAGCTGGGGCTGGTAAGGAAGGAATCACAGACATGGGAGTTGAAAAAGAAGATAAGGGTATTTCATCTAAAAAAGGCCCTAAACTTCCACTACCAAATCCACTGATAAAAAGTTGATCAATAGACTCACGAGTATCATGGGGAGTGACGTCATCGTCAGGAATTATTATTGGGGTTTCAACAGGCTCGGTAAGAGAAACAGAAAGACGAGGGGAAACTTCAGCTTCGTCATCAAAGATGATGCGTCTCCTAGCTCGTGGCCTCGTCACTAGGAAGCCCCCATCTTCCTCTTCTTCAGAGTCTTCTTCTTCAACAGTTTTCCTTTTCGCAGAAGAAAAACCCAAGACTTTTTCTCGGGCTCTTTCTAAAGAGATACAGGTTCCCGAAGGAGTACGGGTTCCCGAAGAGACATGAGAAGCCGCAACTGCTTCGGCAGTAACTCCTCGAATAGCAAATCCTGATAAAAAGAAGGATGGAAGTTAGAACAATAAAGGAAAATATAGGCATGAAAGAATAAAATATAAACTCTTACCATGAGTCTTTACTTTCCAACTGAAACGGTTATAAAATATTTTCCAAGACCTACCATCCGTTGGTGCGGTCTTCAGCAATTTATCTACCCAACTACAAAAATTAGGAACATCCTCCACAACTCCCATGGTTGCTAAAAAAAAGCAAAATTAGAGAAGTTGATAAACTTGAAGGAAAAAGGCACGAAATGGGTAAAAGACTTATGTGCAAAATTCCACTTCTCAGGAAAATGAACGTTATCCTCACCCACTAAACCAACAGTAGGGACAACAACAAATCGGGCGTACCAGCCATAGTCCTTGTCATCTTCAGGGCTCACCAAAACCCTCTTGCTCCTGGCTACTAGTGTAAAAACACCATTGCGAAAAAGCCTGGGAGAGTAAAGATGAATCAGGTGAGGGAAAGTAAAAAGAACTTCAGCTTTAGTGGTTAAATGCCTTAAACAGACAAAAACCCTCCATATGATTGGGCCAATTTAACCCAAACAAACATTGAAGAAATGGCAAAATTCAAGAATGACTGGGTCAATAGCTGGTTTGAACCCTAAAGTGAAAGGGTATGTGTAAATAAAAGAGAACCCAGTCAAATAAGAAGTAATTCTCTGATTTGGATTAAGGATAATAATGGGAAAATCATTACTCCAATGGTAGTCTTTACGAACTACAGGAGTCAAAACTTATGTAATTTGAGTGGGGTAAGCATCGGCACGATCTAAAGCGGAAACCTGGTTTCTAAGAGATTCCCTATCATGGTAAAAAGATAGTTCTGAAGGGACTATCTCCTCTACTAAAGGCTCACGTAATGGTTCAGAAGGTTTTTTACTCCTAGAAGAAGATTTGTGAGAAAGGGAACCTCTGGTTCTAGAAGAAGGACCAGAACTAGGAGAAGGCATAGACGAACTACCACGAGTAGATCCTAAGCTACGAAGCCTACCTCCCCTTCTATGCCTAATGGGGGCATTGGGGAAGGTATCAACAATGGAACTCTCCTAGGGTTAGGGCTTGGTGAAGACATAGCGAAGAAGAATGATGTAAGGAAGAAGTAAACATAGATTTGGAGAATTAAGTGTTCAATAAGCTTTATGTGGTAAAAGACAAGGAAAAAAGTTATATTTATATCGATAAGCAACCGCCAAAGGTAAAAGTGCAGTGATGGAAGGATCATAATAATGATAACTGGCACTTCGTGAAAAGTGGAGCCGTAAAAAAGCCTTGAAAAGGGCTGCAAAACTGCAGAACTAATGAAAAAATGACACATGTATGGAGCATTAAATGGAAGCGACAATTGAAGCGTCAATTTGTCATAGCATTAATGGTGAAAAAAATTCTCTTTTAATGAAATCCACTTCCCAAATATTCAACTAATGAACAAATGGAAAGTGGGGGACTATTTGTTTATATATGAAGGTGACGTGTCAAGACACGTGGAGGACTAGTCAAATGGTCAAAGAATTACAATTAGCCAAAAGGCACGGACAGCAACGGAAACGAGCAAAGGCAAAGGAAGAGGCACGGGTGGTTATTCGAAGGATTCAGTGCCCTTGCCTATTTAAGTCATTTATATCCAAGAATCAAAAGGAATGGATCTGACAATAGAAAAAAGTGCAGATACAGTATTTAATTGGCGTTAAATGCTGAATATGTTAGAGAATTTGTATTGAATATAATGATTATGACATTCAATGTCTTTAATTATTCATAATAGCCTCATTATGATTTGGGCAAAACACATATCTCCAAGATATCTATAAAAGGGAGATATCTGATCAATTGTAGGGACACGAAATACTATTGAAATATACTTTGGTTTACTTGTTTTTCTCCTGATTATATTCTTGTTACCCAAATTACTCTCTTTTACACATTCTTTCGATTATCAGTAACCCGTGTTCTTCTAAATTCTAGCTTTGACTAAAATTCCATTTTTTGGTTAAACAATTACCCTTAAAACACTGCTTAAAAAAGAAAGAATGTCCATTGTCATTTACTTAGAATGCAGAAGCACCAAACACTACAACCCAAAATGTTCTTGCAAAAGTTGGTGTTCCTCTGAAATAAGCAAAAACAAAAAGCAACTAAGATATCTAAGCAGATGTGGTGTAATGATGGCCTTAAAATATGCAATTTGCTATTCTATATTCGATAAAAGCAGCATAATTGAACAATATTTGAAAAATAAATAAAGCGAAAACTTAAAAAGTTGTTAGCTACACAACTCTCATTCACCTGAGCTTTTGCAGCCTTCAATGTTGTGTCACTGGTTCGTTTTGTAAAATTGGACAAACTAGGCTTTCAATGTAGAGTTTCGCCTCAACACTGCCATCAATGTTAGTAACCTCTGGAGATGTGAATGAACGATACACCGGATTGTATATCGCGAAAGTTGATCCAACGACATGCAAAATTACACCTTCATTTGACATGCAAAGGGGTGGAGAAATCATATACTCCAGTTCTTAAGCACATTAGGATAACTGAAGGTATACAGTTTTTTCCAAGACTCTTTAACCCCATACTCCTTCATAACCCACACATCATCTCGAGTTCTATCATAATTACAAAGCATAGAAAGTTCACTTCCCAACACTCCAGGCGTCAAATAAAAGTATCCTCTGCAGCGGGGTAGCTCCACCTTTCGACACTTCTCATCAACCAAATCAATAGACGTAATGCCCCAACCATCAGCACGCTCCTCAACCAAATCAATAGACGCAACCGAACCATCAGCATGCATTGTTACCCAGTGAAACTTCCCATGCACCAACTTAGCCGAACGATGGTATAACAACCCTCCTTGCATATCACCAAGTCTTCTCCAAGAATCGGTTTTTAAACTATATACACAGACATAGCCATGAGTGGGTGTACAGAAAATACCCACTACCTTATAATCATCATGAACCTCATCATATTCAAAACCGTAATTGAAGTTGTAATCATCCGTGTGCTTAGGCATAAGGTCAGGCAGTTGCTTGAACTTTCTAGTTGATGGATTCCACAGAACCAAGCGATCCAGCCCAATGAGAAGACAAATCAACCCATTGACAGAACCCATAATATCAAAAGAATTATCAGCATTTTTTATGGGAGAATCCTAGTCAAATGTCTCAATAACAGCCTCATCAAATAAAGAGCTAACAGAACAATGCTTAAAATTGTGGTTTAATTTCAACAGCAATCTATGGCGGAAGTAATCATTAGCAGAAAGAGTAAGATGGGTGTTGACAAATTGAGGGCTAGAGATTATAGAAAGCCAATCATTTGAAACACACTTGAACCGTAAGAGGGACTTCACATGAAGTCTTTCAAGGATATCAGTTATTAGTTCATTGGGCAAGCTAGGGTTTGCAAAGTTTTGCTTACACTTTGTGGTTTTGCTCCGTTTCGGGTCTGCCTCAACTTTCATTTGTATCTGCNATATATATATGTAGCAGTAAACCGCATATTTCATATTTGGCCCAAGGAAATTTACAATCATTAATTAACTATCCAGAAATGGACCTTTAACCGAAAATTAGTCCAATTATTGTTCCAAGAATCATGAATTGAGTAAAAATAGACTCCCAATAAGTCCCTTCCTTTCGGGGACTCTTTATTTTATTAAGGCGAAAAAATATAAATTTCTTTCAAAAACTCTAAAAATATTAGTAGTATATAATGTGTGTATATATATATAATAAAATATATATTTTATATTAATGTTATACACAATATATGCATATTATATATTAATATTATACACAATATATATATTATATATAATATGTATTTTATGTGCATCACAAGTATATTTATATATTATACAAAAAATATGTGTAGTATATAATGTATATTTTAAGTGCATCACATGTATTTTAATATATAAAGTGTATAAGGAACTAATATATTTAATATCTAGAGATTTAAAATATTAACAAAGGAATAATAAAAAGATGAATTCTCAAAGAACTGAGAGACGGAAGAATTGGGAACTTTTTCGAGAAATTACGGTAACTTTATGAAAGAGAGAAGGTACCAAATTAATAACATAGACATAATTAATGTAAGGGTAGAAACGGATTGCTTGTTTTGTGGGGCAGTATATTTTTTAAATAACCACATAATCTTTCAATCCTGCTAAAAGAGTAAAAAAAAAAATCTATCATAATTGAAATAAACAAAGAATGCTATTATTTATGAAAATAATCTTTAAATAAGGAGCAATCGTGTAAAAAGCTCGATTACAACGAGCGTTCAAAATAGAATGGGTACTATAGCACTTTTGTATATGTGACTGCTTACTTTTTACGGGCATGAATATTCATGAATAGCTAGATTTACAAGTGGTCATTCAAAAATAGTCACAGTTTCAAAAATAATCAAAATTTAGCTATTTTTCATTTAAAGATAAATCTGAACGAAAACACTATTCAAACTCCGGAAAAATACTCAAGTATAAAATATGTTTGAAACATCTTGGTCCTTCCGGAATAGTTTAATAGCTAAGAATATTTCTTAGACATATCACGTGGGATGCATACTTAGTTGAAAAGATTGTTTATTTAATTCTTATTTTCTATTCTTTTAACTGATCTTTTCGTACTATGGAGAACCGCCAATAATTATCTTTAGGATGTTGCAATCAACTAACCAAGGTTAAGAAGTATAGAGATTGCCTTATAATCCTTCTTTTATTGTTGGGGTTATTAGTGCAGGGTAGAAGGGACAAAATTTTATATTGCTGAGGAATATGAGGAACAAATTGAGCATTCATTCACGAGATGTGAAGTCCAACAGTCCATATCAATTCATGAGAATATGGGTTATTAGTGCAGGATAGGAGATTCTTGCTTGAATTAAGTAGTTCTTTTGAAGCTTTTTAGTATATATATTTTTCTCAAATGATGGAATACTTGGATAAGTGTAATTTATTAATTTTAAGAGACATCACCAAGCAAGTGCAAATACGTATGAGGCAAAAAGTTGGACCTTATCTTTTATTAGAAGTTGAGGAACTAAGTAGAGAAAAAAATCAAAAACACTACTAGAAATCCGGTAAAAAGCGACCACAAAAAGCGACCAAAGTTGGTCGCTTATAGGCCTAAAAGCGACCAAAAAGCGATCAAACATGCCTGATCGCAATATTGCTGGTCCCTTTATTTTAGGGACCAAAGTTGGTCGCTAATTAGCGACCAACTTTGGTCTCTAAGGTAAAAGGACCAAATATTCTGATTTTGACTTTAGTGACCAACTTTGGTCGCTATATTAATTTAATAATATAAATTTGGCGATCAAAGTTGGTCTCTACATATGAAATACGTTGTTTTTAATTTATCATTAATCATTAGAAAGCGACCAACTTTGGTCTCTAATCCAAATATTATATTTTAAAATCTGGACAATAAAGACCAAAGTTGGTCGCTAAATTCAAGAATTTAATTTTTTTTTTAAAGATAAGCGACCAACATTGGTCGCTATATTTCCAGAAATTGTATTTTTTTTAATAGAAATCTGGGCAGGTAGCGACCAACCTTGGTTGCTATTGCCCAGAAAATTAATTTTTTTTATAGTGAAATGCGACCAAATAGAGACCAAAGTTGGTCGCTTTTCTTGGTATATTTTTGGCAGAAACTGCCTGTTTTGGCAGCTACACCACCTGCCAGCTTACCAAACATCCTAAACAGGCATTTTATGCCAGCAACAACAACAACAACAATTAAAAGCAACAATCAATAGAACTAACACATTAAGCTAACAAAACTAAGTTAACGCTTATTACAAGCCCATTCGAACTAAAAAGAACTAACACAATAGAACTAAATTTTTTTATCTAGCTCAAAGTATATAAAGTACTCAAGGAGTGTTCTTTCAGCATCCTCGTCCGAAAGTTGGATTGCCTCGCCCGATTCATTAGGTGGTTGACTGCGTATGAATTCTCCCAGGTCAGCTGTATGTGAAGCGAACCTATATGAAAAATTATATATATTGAATTAGTATTTCAAAATTTATATAAAAGTAAATCAAAATACTTAATGAAAAGTAAAAAACTTACATGTATATAGTCGAGGTTTGACCCTCCTTTCTGAATCAGTCTCTTTCTTCTTCTTTACAATACGAGTTTCATTGAATATCTCATCTTGCTTCATTAGCATCATAAAGCTCTCTAGTGGCTTTGGTGATTATCCTCGTGGTACTATTACTCGGGATGAACTTGGATACAGAGAATAACTTGGATACAGTACCTGACAGGGTGTATCTTTGATCAATTGTTGATCTCTATAGCTACAATGATAATGAGAAGGCAACGACATGTGTTTCAAAATAGTGATGGTATAGGTAGGATTTAACATTTCCTAAGTAGATAAAAGAGGTTATAGAGGAATTCTCTACTTCACTTTCCAAGAGGAAAAGAAATTTGATTGATAGTGACAATGTTGATGAAGACGGAATGTTTTC